AATGAATATCTTAGCTAGCTTTGTATATATTAGAATACTAGCAGATCTAATACATAACAAGAATTTCTTATTTTTTATCTTTAGTATAGAAATAGCTATTTCTAAAATTGTTATAATCCAAATCGTAGTAGAAGTTTATAGTATGCATAGCATACTAACAAATTATCAAGAATCCTGAGTTTTGTATTAGCAATAGTAATACTATAGGTATATTTGTTGCTATGATAATAGACCTTTTGAATAGTTACTTTATTAGGGTTATAGCCATACTGGAATGTCTTGTTCTGTCTTCATAGAAACTATAAAAGCAGTCTACAGCAATAGATTTGAATTTATTATATTTATAACAATTGTTACTAACGCAGTTTTACAGTAGTATAGATGGTCTTGTTTATAATTCAGTAAGAGGTTCATTATAGAACTTGCAGAGGGCAATAAACTGCAATATATCTAATTTTCTTGCAATGATTGTAGCAGTTGGTGAAGTATTTAATAAAAAGATAAGCAGATGATTCATAATTTCCATATATTTAAGAGAAAGCTCAAGTATAATGATAAGATTAATAAACTGTTTAATTATTATAATAGTTGTCTGTGTCTAGAATAGGGTTAGTACTAGAGCTGCAGGTGAAACTAAATCACACTGGTAAAACTAGTGATTATCTAAAATCTGATTGGCTATTGCATTCAATAGCCAATTAGATTTTAGATAGTCACTAGTTTCATCAAGTTTCACCAAGTTTCATCAGTTTCATCAGCAACTCTAGTTAGTACTAAGTATATAAATTTTTTTAAAAGTTAAATATTTTTGTTTATATAAATTTAGCTTTTCTGAGTTAGTTACAATAAATTAGATAGATAATAGTTAATCATTCTTATAGGTAGTAGGAGCATGATATTTGTAATTTTTTATTTAAAGAAATAAAAGCTATTCTTTCAGTTATAACTGGCTTCAATTTTCTTAAACTAGTCTTTTTCAAAAATACAGTATAGAGAGTTGTAGCCACTATTTTAATAATAATAAAGATAGTTGTCCTCCAATCTGAATAAAAAGATTTTAAATAATTTTTAGGATCAAAAAAAAGCTTTGGTGGCAGAGATTATATATGTCACCAAAATAGGTTTTCAAAAAACCTCTATTTAATCTCCATTAGAGCAAATTAAAATTTTTTATATGCAAGAGCAAATCTAATTTAGATAGTTATGTTCTTTATAATTTCGTCTCTTTAAAAAAAGTGTCAAAAAATTTCGTCTTTTAAATAAAATAAGTCAAAAACAATTTTGTCTTTAAATTTTAATTTTGTACCCCGAAATCTAAAATAATTTCATTAGCTGTATAGCAAAGATAATAAGATTAGTCAAGTTTTGTTTGATTTTTAGCTCTAATTCTTTGACTATTTTATAAGCAATCATACTAATAAATACTTCACCATCTACAATAGCTTAATAAAGTCTGTTTCTAATTTTTATATTGTACTTGACAAATATAGTAATTAGTTTAGAAGTAATAATAAAAGATTTTGCTTCTTGACTTAGATAGACAAAGAAAACACTTTGAATAGAAGAATTATCTAATAGGGTTTTTTATTGCTTTTGGTTTATAAGAGAGAAAGGTTTGGAGTTTTGGTTATGGTAAGAAGAAGGTAAGTGATGAGAAAATTATTTAGAGTTTTTTGTATAGGAGTAGTAGCTATTTCATTCTTGAAAATAATCTCAATATTAGAAATAACTATCATAGCTGCTAAATTTATTTCTATTTCTAGATCTATTTTAGTTAAAAAATCAAAAATAGTTTCTGTTTTAGCTTTTAGATTAATTATTTCTCTAGTTACTATAATAATCTTGGCTTCTGCTTGTGATCGTAATTAATTCTTCTGCTTAGCATGGTATTAAAATGAAGTGTCTAATACATCTATAATAATAGCAGGTAAGTAATTGTCTGATTCTATTAGCAATAATAGAGTTTTCAATATAGTATACAAAAGTAGAAGCAGATTTTTGTTAAACAAGATTGATGCTAAATTAAGCTATCTGATCAGTTAATTGTTTGATAGCTTGGTCTGTATTTGTAATAGGTGAATATATAAATCAAAGTGCATATAGTATCTATAACAACATTCAAGTTAATAGAGATTTTAGCTGAACAATGATAGCAAACTTAGGTCTAAGTTCTTGAATAAAAAGTTGAAAAATAAAATCACTAGAAAAAATATTGATAGAGTTTATACAAGCTTGTAACTTCTTAAAGTGGATTATATAGATATTAACTAAATCTGTTTCTTGTTTAATTTCAAAAAATTGCTTTTGCTATTTAATTTTTTAGTTAGTGGAGTTAAACTTAGTTTTGAAAAAATAATAGAAGCTTTAATCCTAGTAGGCTTTATTCTTAAAAACATTAGAGTAGAGACAAAACTTCAGAACTATTTAGTAGCAATTTTTTCATATTTTTTGAGATAAAAGCAAGTTGTCAAGCAATACTCTAGTTGTTAACAATAGTAGCTTGTTCAAATTCTTCTAATCATTCTACTAGATTTTGACTTCTGTTATCAGTAAATAAATCAATTTTAAGAAGTAATTTTTCTCTGTATGATGTAAGAGTATTAGCCAAGTTTGTTATTGTATTAGTAGCAACATTAAAAGCAGCAGCTTTAGCTATATTTGCAGGTAGTATTACAAATGGTTGTGGTGGTAATAGGTTATCTTCAGGTTGTTCTAGTAGTGATAAATTATCTCTAAATAAACCTTGTAAAAATAGGTTATTGTTAGATTATTCTTAATTACTGTATTTTCTAATAATTTAAAAGGTTTGGTTGAGATAAAGATTCCTGAATGATACTATTTGATTTGTCTTCTTGAGTTGACTCTTCTAAATGTAAAACTTCTTCTTGTTATAAAATATATTTTTTTTATTTGTGCTTCTGGAAAAAAGACAAGGTCTATTTCAATAAGTTGTTATTGGGATACTTTAAATATGTTTCAAAGTGAATGTTAAGAAGTTTAATAATAAGGATTATCTGTTTCATCTTAATAAAAAAGTAAACTAGAAAAAGATGCAGATCTTTATATAATCTATTAGTCTTAGTAACTAAAACTATAATCATTATTTGATTGATAATGTATAGAGGATTCTAAGTTTTCAAATTTTTTTTCGAATTCTTGTATCCAAAATTATAAGCTAGGTTTATATAGTAGTTAAAAACATTTTGATATTCAAAATCAATAGTAGGTAAGATAAATTATTTAGTTTAGGTTTAATCTAGTTTTTTATAATCTTTATTCTTAAAACTTTACTAGTTTAACCAGTTCAGACTGGTCCAGTCTTACTAATTTTTTTCAAGCTTAAACTGATTTTAAGACTAACATGATCTATTAGTTTAAGATCAGACTATATAACATTTCTAGATGCAACTTTAAACATCTAAAGTTTCAACTTTAATCAGATATCAACTTCAAATACTAGTTACAACTTTTTTCAACTTGGTGATTATAAGGTTTAACAGAATCTTTAACAATTATATAAGATAATATTTGAAAAATTTCTAATATAACTCAATTTATTAAAAAAGGTTATATTTGAAAACTAGGTATTGGGTGTAAAGGTTATATTTGAAAATAGCTAATTAATAAATAGGTTATAATAAAATTTTGCTAATGAATTATATATTAAATCTTATATTTGAAATTTTAATAAAATTTAAAAATAATATGATTTCATTTTTTTTTTTTTTTTTTTTTTAGAAATTGCAATTTTTTTTGAACTAATATTTTGTTGATAAGTAAGCATATATTTTAAAAAATATAACAATATCAAATATTATGATCTGAAATTGAAATAAAGCTAATACTTACATATATACTAATATAAAAATGCTAATAAAAAAATATTTAATATAACCTTTATTATAATTATGTGGGGCCTGGTTTAATTGTATGTAAATGGTTTAAAATTTTATTTCTGATTGGTCGAACTTTTTATAATAATTCCATGTTCTTTTATAACCATAAATAACGAGCATATAGCCTTTTCATGTTTATTTTTGGCGGTCAACTCGCGATAAAGTTAACGCATTTATAATGGGAAAAATCCTCAAAAAATTCATTCAAATGATATTTATTAAATTAATGTTGGTTTTTTTTTTTTTTTATTACTCAACGAGTAAATAAATATATTTAAAGATTTGAATAACAGCAAATGTAACGCCAAAAGATATTAAATTATTCTATCACTATGATACAAAATATTTAAACAGCATCTTAATCCCATTCATCATCATCATCATCCACATCCGCAAATCCAAATATGGTTTTGCGTTCTTGTTTTTTTGGTGCTTCTTGTTTTGTTATGACGCCTAATAGAATTAGAGTAAATTAAAACTTGGGAAAAATAACAAATGAACATATTTTATATAGGAAAATAATTTAATTACCACTTTGAGACAATCGAAGTTCGAGTGCTGCTGTCGTAAATGAATCAGTGTTTCCAAGATCGTCAAAACCGATGATCCTAGAAATAAAATGTATAAAAACAGTCTAAACCAATTTTGATCAAATTCAATTCTAATTGTAAAATGTTTACCTATCCATAGAAATTCCGTCTATAAAAGATATGACGCAAGGCAAAACTTTTATCGCGAGTTTTTCAACCAAAAAAGGTGCATTTTCGACATTTATTTTTATAAATTTTGTTTTAAAATGACGAACGGCGATTGTCTATTCATAATAACGGGGTTTTAGAGTCAAATTGATATTTTTCGATGAAACACATGCCAGAAACATACCGTAAGATGTTTGTCCATAATCTGACATCTTCGAAATTCTTTGTGAAAGAAATGTACGACACAAAGTTTTGTAGTAGTAGTTATCTTAAGAATTTCTTTTTCTTCAGCAATTTCAGTGTATGAACCATGCTCGTTCTGATGCATTTCTTGTAATTTTGTCATTCTGCTCATTGAACGCATAGAAGAATCAAATAAACCAATAAATCGGATCTAAATAGATCGTTATAATTTTTCAGACGCATACTCTTGTTTCAGTTGTTCCATCCTTCGTTCGCGAAGATTTGCAATCACAGAATCGTCGTCCTTTTCTAATTCTTCAAACAATTTTTCTTCATCCTCATCCTCGTCACCTTTATCAAGAGTTTCTTGAACTTGTTCAAGGGATTCTTCTTGTAGTCTATCAATTATATGGTTTTAAAGCTTCTGTACGTATAAAGATCTAAAAAAAGATGAAATATTCGCAATGATATACCTTTCTTCGTCTTGTTGTGACATGGCCATAAGTTTAAAGGTTTTCTTTTTTTAATATATAGTAAAATTTACTTTTATATACCGATATGCAGATCAAAAATAGTCACCAAAGAAGCATAACAATAAATGAATGTTATTTAATATGATTCGAGTAATACGTACTTATACATACGTACGTATACGTATCGATAATGTATTATGCATATGGTGATATATGTTATTAGGGGACTTCAAAATTTTATTTTCAAATTTTTTAGGACTTTCAATATAAAAAATGTGCTGACATTTATACGTAACGAGATCACACAAGTGTACTTAATACGCATAATGACTCAATAGATAATGGCAATTGTCATTCTATCAACGTGTGTTTCGAATTCAAGGTATATTTCTTAAAAATCTTGCATGTTGAATTTACCTTAGTTTTTGATTAATCTAATTGTGATGGCGCCGAACCCTTTTGATTTTAATTTTCGTTCATTAAATTTCGACTTTGAATCTTATATCTATGAAAATGAAATTCTTAAACCAGTTTCACCCAAGACAAGTGATCAATCTCAACATTTCTATCATTATCGAAATTTTTTTTTTTTAGAAATATATTCAATAGTTTTTTCATCACATAACAGATGATAACAAGAAACAAGACGGTCAAAAGACTGTTTGCAAACATTGGTTAATTGGAATCTGCTTTCGTAACCAGTGCTCATACTTGCATACTTATGATTTTAACAATATGCCTATATGTCCAACGATGAAAGGCATGATTTATATTTAAAAATTTGGATAATCGGGTAAAAAGAAACGAAAAATCAGAGCAAATGACCTAAAAAAATTTTTTCTCTTTCATCACAGCTCATGGAAAATGTAATCGAATTATGTGCGTGTTCTCTCACCAAATGGATAATAAAGGGACTAAGCTACGTCGAAGATGCAGAGACTACATGCGGGGATTTTGTAGCCGCGGTATTTAACGATTTTTATGAATAATCTCAAAAAAATTTGATGTTGAGAGTAATTAGCTTACCTCGCTTTTTAAGGTCCAGTCTGCCCAAATAAACATATTCGACGTGTCATATGCCCTTTGTACATTACGGGATTTTGTCCTAAAGGACCGAATTGTAGTAACGTTCAGTATGTAACAAATTGATTCTACTGATACAATTTCGTTATTAACATTTTCTTTTTAGCCCAAAACATTTCGATTTCTTCGAATGCACACGCCATACAATGAATCCTTCACGCAAGAATAGAGGTGGTAGATATCATGAAAAGCGTAATATCAACTCATAAAAAAGAACATAACGAAATATTTGATTTTTGATCAAACTAATTACAGTTCGTTGTTAAAGAGTTAAAAGGCAATTGATTTTTTTATTGTGGAGCTTTGTACAAAAAATCATTTGATCAAGAATGATTAATTTGTTCAAAGAATTTTGGATGCATTGCATAAATACAACTTTTGAAATTGATTTCGCCTCAATAAGTAAAATTAAGTTCCAAAACTGGTTAACGATACTATTAATAAAAGATTATGATTAAAATGAGAATTCTTTAAGATGAAATGATTTGTTATATTTTATTCAGCCAATCGATTACCTTGATAAAACCAATATCTTTGGAATATTCACGGAAACACTGACGGCAGACGTTAAGGTTGTATTTTCGAATCAAACCAGCTCGATGGGCACAAACACGACTTCTCATTAGGAAATATAAGTGTGCGTAACCGTTAGATCTATTAAAAGTTATTCAACTAGCATTAAACGTTCATTCAACTACCATTCACGGGAGCCTTTTCCGTAGCGACGTGGGCGAGAGAACCAAACTTGATCGTGTGCCATCTTTATTAACGATTTTATCGATTATATTAAATCGTCCTTTTTGTGAAAGAGAGGGTTCTAAAATTTAAATTTTTCACGATATAAATGTGTAAAAAAAAATCACGTGACTGGTTTCACAACGAATACAAAAACTTGGAAGGGTCAAAATATTGCAAGATATTGCACAGCATAATTGCAACCATGTGAAATCGCGTAATTTCTACTACAGTATCAGATGAATCTAATCGACATATGCACTTAAAAAATCTAATATTAATCTAATATCTAATTTTTCAAAAATAATCCTTATCTGAAAAATAATGGAACCAGAACCATTCGTACCCTCTCAAGGATCAGTCCGGAAGAATTACAGTCTAGCTACAGAGTTAGTTTTTATAGACAATTCAGATGGGACAGGTGTTAGAGATCTTTATAATGCTTCTTCTATACCGATTTATCAAACAGCTACCTTCAAACAGTCATCAGCATCAAGAGTGGAGGAATTTGATTATACGAGAAGCGGAAATCCTACTCGTTCTCACTTAGGTAATTTTTTTCATGGGTACTTAATTAGTCTACTAGTTTACATAACTTCTGGAATTTAATAACATTTCATACAGAGAATCATCTCGCCAAGATCATGTCTGCAAGTCGTGCTTTTGTCGTGAGTAGTGGTATGAGTGCATTAGACGTGGTAGCTCGTTTAGTCAAAGCAGGCGAGGAGATAATTGCTGGGGATGATTTATACGGAGGTAAGATCTCATTTTTATTGTACTAGGATAATGAAAGGTATAATTTAAATTTAAATTATTTCTTTTGTGTTTGTTTAGGCACCAATCGACTTCTTGCGTTTCTTAATAAAAGTTTTGACATCAAATCACATCATGTTGATACAACAAATCCGGATGCACTTTTACCCTACCTACATCCCACAAGGACTCGCCTTATTCTCCTAGAATCACCTACAAATCCATTGATCAAAATTTCGGACATTCCAAAGATTGCATCGATCGTGCACGAGCGGTGTCCAAATGCCTTGATAGTAGTTGATAACACCATGATGTCACCTTACCTTCAAAGACCACTGGAATTCGGTGCAGACATCGTGATACATTCCGGAACAAAATATCTCAGTGGACACCACGATTTAATGGCAGGCGTGATCGGTGTTAAGGATGAAGTTGTTGCAGAGGTAAAGAAAGATCGAGGCATTAAATGATCATGACAGTTTATCTTACAAATGTGCAAATATTATAATTTTGTTTGATAGAGCGATCCTGATACCTACCTACTTTTTATTGTAGAAAATTCATTTTATCATTAATGCAACTGGGTGTGGTCTTACACCATTTGAATCGTGGCTGCTGCTTCGAGGCATCAAGACTTTGGCAGTCCGCATGGAAAAGCAGCAAGCTAATGCAGTGCGGATAGCAGAATTTCTCGAACATCATGGGTTTAAAGTTATGTACCCTGGGTTAAGGACTCACCCACAATACGATTTACACACCACTATGTCCCGTGGACCTGGAGCCGTATTGAGTTTTGTAACTAACGACGTAGAAATTAGTGAACGAGTAGTAGAATCCACAAAATTATGGTCCATTAGTGTCAGCTTTGGATGTGTCAATTCGTTAATAAGGTAAGAAGTCTATATTGTAAAAGTTTAGATGTTCAATCTGTATAATCTGTATAGCATCATGTGATATGTCCATATCATATTACCCGTTCAACAACGGGTCGAAGTACCTAGTTTATTTTATAAAAACTTTTACACATTACGAGGAGTTCTAAGATGATTATCTATTTGAATTTAAGTATGCCATGTAGAATGTCACATGCAAGTATTCCTGCGGCAGTACGGCAAGAAAGAGGTTTTCCAGAAGATTTGATTCGTTTATGTGTTGGAATTGAAGTAAGTTTTTACTTAAACTATGAAAAGTAATTTTTAATGTTACAACTGATTTATATAATTCTTTTTTACAGGACGTAAACGATTTGATTGAAGATTTATATTCAGCATTAGTTACGGCTAATGCCATAAAAGTCATCAAGCCAAATGGATATATTAAATAAATGGCACCCGTGATTTTAAAGTTCTGGACAATCTAAAATAACTGTTATAGATAAATAAAAAAAAAACCTGTATACGCAAAAACTTGCAATTAGTGGGTTATTAAAAAAAAAAAAAAGAAGGTTGAGATTTGGTTATCTTTAATAAACCGAGTTTATTAATCGAGTTAATTCTAAATCAATGTCTCATCACTCAAGTTTATTCGGAATTTCATTGCCGGCAAAACTTGGTTTTGACGCACAATATTTATACAACTTATAATAATGTATATGAAGAATATATAAAAATGATTAAATTTATTAAAGGTGAAGATTATAAAGCTATGGATTTTTCTACATTTCATCAAATTTGGAATGAAATCACACCTGATATTAGATTTATATCTAAAGCTTCTGATTTGTGTGATAAATGTGAACAACTTCCTGCTAAAATTTATACTACGGACAATATTGAAAGTAAACAAAAATTTCAAGCAGAATATGACCTTTATCGAGCAGCTGCAACAATTGAACGTCAATATTATAATGAAAATATTGAAATTAGTAAACAAATAAGGTTCAATACTATGTATATTTGCTATGATTGGGCTCAAAATGTACCAATTCCCTACTCACCACAACAACCAGGAGGTTTATTTTTTAAATCTCCATTTAACGTTCATCTTTTCGGAATTACCAATACTAGTTTAGAACCTACAACACAACGAAACTATTTAATAGGTGAACATCAATTACCAATCAAAGTACCTAAAGGTGTTAATACTACTCTTAATCTTATATACGATAGTTTACTTAATTGGAATTTGCCACACAGAAATCTTAAAGTTACCTGTGATAACTGCAGGAGCCAGAACAAAAACAATCTTGCATTATGGTTTTATTCGTGGTTTACTATGACTAAACGTTTTGATACAGTTGAAGTTAACTTCATGGTTCCCGGTCATACTAAGTTTATATGTAATGCATATTTTGGGACAATTAAATCACTTTACCGCAAATCTACTGTTATGAGTATGGATCACATAGAAGCTATTATTAATCAGTCAAAAAAAGATGGTAGTAATATCGCCGTTAGATATGATAAAAAAAAATGGTAGAGTGGAACTACTATGATTTTGAAACATTTCTTAAACCTTACTTTATTAAATGTGATAGTATACGAACATATCAACATTTTTATTTTTATCATGATCAACCCGGAAAAGTTTTTTTGTAGCATTAGAACCTAATGGGTCAAAAAAAGAAGCTATAATTCGTAATAATCTTTTTTTTGATCCATACAAACCTTTAGATACAATTTCATTAAAACCTATATCTTTAAAACATCAAACACAATTATTTAAAGATATTCGCCCATATGTACACGATCCATATAAAGATGAGTTATGTTTTGCTCCAAATGAAAATAATAACAATTCAGATTCAAATTAACTAGAATTCACTGCTTTCTTTAATCTTAAATATTGTAATAGTTGAACTTGAAAATCACACATTTATTAATATCAAAACTATCTCTACTTCCATATAATAAAATTCAACTTATAAAATCTAATGACAAGTATTATGATTATTATTTTTTCGATCAATCCAGCTTGAAATTATAGTTTTATTCATGCTGGAAGGTAATCTGAAATATCCTTCTTTTATTTGTTCAGAGCATAATACAATAATCAAAATAAGGAAAAAACTAATTAGTAAGCAACCCAAGACATTAATAATACTAAACGGAGATTTCACAAACTTTACTAAAACCCAAATGCTAAAAAAGTGCTTAATACCGTACATTCATTTTTTTTTTATGCGCTTTCCTCTAATCAACTGTCTTTTGCCGTTCTTCGTCTCAAGTACACCATAAGATAAGGTTTACGGTAGTTTTATATTCAGAAAACTGGAAAACTGGAAATCTAAAGCTACTTTACCGTTTGAATGGATAACGATTAGATCATAATGTACATGATCATGTGGTTATGCAGCAGACTGTAGTAATCTAAAATTAGATCAGAAAATCATCGTACGCAAAAATTACTGCGTATAGAACTGTACCAAATTATAATATGTCAACATATGTTAAAATTTTTATTACGAATTAATTACACGCTTGCGAATACAATCCAATAAAAATCTCGATTTCCGTTAGTACACCTCTAAACCCCGATTTTATGTGGAAGGACCCATTTGTACTTTAGTGTAACAAAAGCATGCATATCACGCGTTTGTACAATATGATGATTATCATGTGCTTCGGACACACATGCTAGTTTGTATTATTATTTGATTGACAATTTGATTGGTTAATTATCACGGGAAATCACGGGTAGATATAACAATTATAAATTGTCTTTCTTTTTGTTGAAATACACACAAAAACACGATATTTCGTTATTTTTTTTTTTTTTATATTTTTAGTGTTCACTCTTTATCCTTTTCTTTATTATACATACAACATATTTTTTTAGATAGTTTTTATTTTTTGAAAAACACTATATTAGATCGCTCAATGTATACAACGTAGAT